TCACATCGAAATTCTTCACCAAATTTAGAATAAAAAATAAAATTTTAAAATAATGTTTTTTTGAAGTTTTTTTTTTGTTTTTTTTGCCCGGCCAGACAAATGACCCCGGGCCACTCTGGTAGCCTAGGTAACTTGTCATTTTGAGGTGGTGCAGTACAGGACAGGACAGGTTCCTTCTGTGCGCGAGATCGCCAGAGGGTTGAGTGCCTTCCATCTCCTTCCGTGTCCTCGTAAGCAGGTCTCTCTCTCCTTTAGCGGACCTGCTCTTTTTATGGTACCTCCTCCACCGGGCAAAAACCGGAACACAGCGAGTTTTGGTTGTAGGTTGGGGTTCGGGGCAAACATAATCTGGACCAGGACCCTGGACCAGATTCCTTTCTGATTGGGTTTGGGTTCGGAGCAAACGCAATAGGCCGGGTTCCCTGAACCTGGACCAGGGACGTTGTTCAGGAGGAGCAGCTGACAGTGTTCCAGGAGCTGCCCACTTATGCTAAAAAAAAAAAAAAAGGAGGAAACGAAAACAAAAAAAAGCAAAAAAGCAAAAGCGAAAAAAGCCAAAAAACAAGAAAAAAAAAAAAGCGACGCAAGTATGTGTACCACGCATGCAGTCAGGTTTCTATGGTGCAGCCCTTGACCTTGACTGGAGTCTAATTGTTTTTTTTTTTTTTTTTTTTTGGTCCGATCGACCACGGATCAGATATTAAACTGATCAGAACAGATACTACACTTGATCTTAGCCAAAAGGCCGAGAAAGGCATTGAGTCTAATTGTTATGAGTTAATGTTCAATTAGACCGAGAGCTGCGCAGTAGAAAAAGGAGAGGAGGGGTCGGCGGGGGCGGTTGGCGATGGGGGAGATAATGGGCCTCGCCTCGCTCCACTACTCTCGAAATGTGCAAAACGAGAGTGAATCTTTCGCTACAACATGGAAAGATACACCACCATGATTTTTGTCTTTTAAGTTTCAAAAAGAAAAACTACAGGAGCAGCCTGGGCACTCCTGGAAAGGCGCCAACCACTCTTGGCTCACCATTGTGTTGTTTTTCTTTCCTTTTCCCCCCGTGTTTTTTTTTGTTTGTTTTCTTTTTTTTATTTTATTTTGGACCATTTCTCGATTCATGCGTGTCATTCTTGCGCAGGGGCCAAGTCCCACTAGCAGTGTTGAGCTACCTCAACGCCTGAATCTGAACGCTTTTGCGGAGATGTGCAGAAATGGTGTTGAGTTTCCTGAACTGCACGTCTCCACAAACACGTCCAGATTCAGGCGTTGAGGTAGCTCAACGATGCTAGTGGGACTTGACACCAGGGGCCATGCCAATCTCCTTTCTCTGTATCGCTCCAATTTTTGAAACGGATGTCGCAAAGGACTGCTTTCTTTCGTCGTTCATTGGTTTTTGTTCGTGTGCTATTTTTATCTCACAGTCCATGAAGACTGTGGTTGCAAAAAAAAAAGAAAAAAAAAGAAAAAAAAAGAAGAAGAAGACTGTGGTTGCCATCACAAACCTTCGTCAGCTATCACAAACCTTCGTGAGCTACGTTGTGCTGCTTGGGGCGTGCCTTATGCTTCTTGTGTGATGGAAACTGAAGTTGAAAGTTGAAACCAAGGAGAGAAGGAGATGGACCAGAAACGTTCTCGTCTCAATCCCTTAAGTCAAGGCTCAGAATATGAAACGAAGAACGTTCGGACTGGTGTCTGGTGTCTGAGGTTCTCGCCGCACGGCACACGAAACGAAAACGAAACGAGTGCATCTGCCCAAACAAAGGTGGCAAAATACACTCGTTACCATTTATAGCAAACCGACGAACCTGGCCATTTTCTGTGGGAAGATTCATTCGTTTCGCGTGCCGTGCGGCAACGCCCTGAACGCTATGGAAATCCGAAATGGTGCAATGTGATTCGTTTTCTTTCTTTTTCTCTCTGGGTGTGTAATCTCTTCATTTTCTTTCCCCGTTGTCCAGTATGGGAAACTCGTGCAGGAGTAAAGAATAGCGGCTGCTCATCTGTACACGGAAATTCACT